TGGAAGCATTATGGTAATAACATGCTGTCCCCACCTACCTTATTTCCTGTACAGGGTATTTGTCTAGAATCTACCTACCTGCCTAGCTTGTAAGGAATGAACAGCAGTACAGGAGCTGCATGAAGTGGGTTAAACAGAAAGAGACACAAATTCCATCGGAAGTGGGAAGATAAGAGCAAGGGAATGCAGCCAAAGCCAAATACAGTGCTATCTAGTTTGTATTATTGATAGATCATGAACCAGGTTGATGTGGAGCGCTGACCTTAGACTGGATAACTTAGGAGAGTGCTGTCCATCAGTCAAATGATACAAGGTGTCTTTAGACACCTTTCACTCACCAGCATCTTCCATCAGCCTGTGCTGCCTAGCTTGCTGAGTTGAGTTCAGTGAAATCTTGATACTTTTTCCCTAGTGAGAAGTGCCTGATGGGAAACATCTTAGTATAGACTGTTGGGTGGAATCCACATTGGTAAAATAAGAAAGCTTGACCCACAAAATGAGAGTGAGAGAAGACATGACTTGAGAAATCCCAGATGAGAAAACACGGTCTGCCACGTATTTAAGCTCTCCAAGGATCCATGTGAACTGCTAAAACTCCCGCATGTAGTCTCCAACCTTTCTGAACTGATCAAAGTGGCAGGTGATGGATCATAACATCACATCAGCTCTTTTGTACTTAAATCATGCTAGCGGCTACTGCCTTGCCTGACCAGGTCCACAGCAGCTTTTCCTAAGAGGCTGGGCCAGACCTCCTAGTGCAAGAAGTTCAGTGTAAAAGTCCTGAGTCATTTGGGGAACATTAAAGCACTTTTGAATGTGTGCCAAAGTCTTTCTTTTTACCTCTTCTTGTTTTCTGGACTTTGTCTTGACTGGAGAAACCCTTCCCATTTCTACTAGGTAAAGCAGATGAAAGCAGAGATATTTATCCAAGTGCTTAAATGGAGCCTCATAGAGCTCGCTCTCCCTGGCTACCCTCCTCCTGCACAACATTCTATCACAAGACTTCCAAGGAAGCTTTCATTTAGCAGCTGTTTGCTCCTCTTTTACACGATGGTTCTCCATGTTCAACAAGAACAAAGATCACTGATATTCCCTTTGGGTCCATCACAGGCAACTGAGAACAATGGGCTCTTTTTATGTGGAAAAGAGACTTAAATTTTATTCATAATCTTTTTTTTTTTCTCTCAACACATTCTCATCCTCATGGGTCCCTTTCTCTAATTAGCTATGCAAGCCTCGACACTAAAATTTAGCTACATATTAATCTCCCATTTTTATTAGTATGGTGTCTTGGTCTTCACTGTACAGAGCATATGCTTATTAAATTTAAACACATTTTGTGTGTTTGTGAAAAGGATCCTATAAAACTGGAGTTTCTAAAAGCTCCAATTGCATGGAAGTTGTGGATCGGATATGCCACTAAATCAGGACACTCCTGAAACTGAGTTGCTACACTAGTTCCATTTACACAAAAGCTAGAATTTCCCATTTAATTGTTATAACATACCAGGTGATGTGCTATGGATTTAACATGCACTTATCATCTCTAATTAACTGTCATAACACTGTCAGCTGTATATTATCTTCATCCTACAGATTTTGAAAGAATATCCAGAATCCAGTTTCTGTGATCCTAATACCAGACCTGTCTAAGTGAGACCAACCTTGTAGCTTACAAAAATATAGTTGGGGCACCAAAGGAATGTGGCTCTTAAAATGCAAAATAACAACAACAATAATAATAATAAAGTTAACTTGTGTACAATCCTCTCTTCATCCTTCTGATAACACTGAGGAGTAACTTAACTCTGTATTGCGCATGTTTTTGTGCACATATGTGGACACATGTAGTATTTGGGTGCATTTGCCTGTGTGCCTGTACTTGGAACCAGATGACGACAGATATCACACGGAAGTCTCATAAAGTCTATCACACTTGCTCTCTCATTGAACCTGGGGACTGCCCTTCAAGTAGACTGGCTGGCCAGCATGCTCCCAAGCCCAGTTCTGCACATCTGTGTGTGTGCGCTACAGGTGTATCATCAACCTGGCCTTTTCCTGAGTGCTAGGGATAGGAATTGTGGATCTCTACCTTTCAAAATGTCCTATGATCTCTTCACTGAACGAGTTAGTTAACACTACTGCCCTTGTTTTCCCTGGAGGTAAATCAGATCTTTTGATTAAGAAGTGCAGAAAAGGAATCTGAAAATATGTCCCATTCCAGAGCATTCAGGTAGCTGCTTTCTTGCTGAACGGTATGACACTCAGGTGGATGCTATTTTAGACTAGTTTGATGGGGTATTTAGATTAAGTCAGATGCTTTTACATATTTACATACTTGGATATCCTAATGTATAATGTTCAGCAAATTCAAGCGTTAATAACTGTGACAAGAAAAAAGGACATTTGCTGGTGGGAGAGTAGAAAGGCATGTCTCTAAAATATTTAATAGGTGAGAGTTTCTAAGGGTCACTTCTTTAAAGTGTAATTATTAGAAAAACCTCCATAAAGGCTTCTGATGTACGTGCATGGTATAACTGATTTCCTGCTGTCGGCGAATCTTGTTCACGTGATAATGTGAACTGCTTTCAACACCTGCATTTCCACACTTCGACTCACAAGATACCTCAATATTCTGCTCTATTCTAATGGATGTGGTCAATACAAGACTGAGGCGGCCATGTGAGACTGAGTTGCACCTTTTTAAAATTAACACTTTAAATACTTTAACAGTATGTATAAGCTCAGCAGTGAATTTCAGATTTTCTTTGTTATTAGAGGTCAATTCATCACTTCTGGAAAGCAAAAGTTTTAGGTTTTCCAACTTTGTACTTTCTTTTCCTCCCTTTTTTTGAGGTTGGGCAGTACTGGAGATGGAACCTAGGGCCTGACTGAAAATACCCAATGTATCTTTTCTAAAAAATTGGACAGGGTCTTCCTAAAGTGCCCAGCGAGGCTAAAACTTGCCACCCTCCTGCTTCAGTGGCAGGATATAGGCAAGCACCACGTGGTGCAGCTTTTCTTTGTTAGCCTAATTAAAAGGTTGTAGTGTGGCTCTTCTGAGATGCTACAGAAATGCATGACGTCACCACCAACCACAGCAGGTTCAGCAGGGGCAGACTCCAAACAGGTAAATACCAATATGACCATCTCCTTCCAGACTTTTAACTACGGCCTGGGCATCTGCTTCCAGTCTCCTTTCCTTCTCCCACCACTCCTCTTCACCTGTGAGAGGGTTCTTCATTGAGAGCACTGAGGTCTGTGGCCTCTCCAGCTAGCTTATCTGGGCTCCCATCTACCCACATTGTCTCATGAAAAGTTATCTATCACAGGTTGAAGACACTACCTCTTGGCAGTTTCTGGAAGGCTAAGAAGTAAACTATTAGATGTGTTGTTACTTAAGGCTTTGTGCCTTGTTCAACCATACAATGGATGCAGTTTTAGATGTCCAATTTATCTATCCAGACATGTATTTACTGAGTACTTAGTGTGTGTTAGGCACTACTCAAAAGACGAGAACTACATCAAACAAAATCAAGAAAAAGCCCTGCACATGCATGACTTTTTCAGAGAGGCAGATGGAAATCTCTAAGCTCTATACTTGGAAATGGCCATAAATGCTGTACAATGAAAAGACAGCCCCCCCACACACACACACAATGGGGGAACAGCCTTGCAAGGCCACAGAGGAGGACAATGCAGCCAGTCTGATGAGACTGAACAAGCTAGGGTCAGATGGAAGGAGAGGAGGACCTCCCCTATCAGTGGACTTGGAGAGGGGCATAGGAGGAGGGTAAGAGGTTGGGGTTGGGAGGGGAAGAGGGAGGGGGCTACAGCTGGGATACAAAATGAATAAACTGTAATTAATATAAAAAATAAAAATTTAATTAAAAAAGCAAGAATAAAGCTTAATACTAAGGACCTTTTCTTAATAAAAAAAAAATTAAGGAAATCTGATCTCCATTGGTTTTCTATGTTTAGAAACCCAGTCACATCAGTGCATTTCCCCTATAACGCTCCACTAAACTCCCCATTTTCTTCTAAAGTCACTGGGATCTATCCTGAGTTGAGCACTCAGGCCTTGTTGCTATTTTAACATTCTCTCTGGTCTCTCCTTCCTTTCACCCATCCCACCATTTGTGAGTGTGGGCCTCAGAGCGCTAAAAAGCACGAGTCTGAGCAGACACTTGCACACCAGTGTTCGCAGCGCCGTTCACAACAGCCCCAGGAGCTGCTGACTGAACAAGAAAAACACTGCACAGACATTAATTACAATAGATGTCGAGACTTAAAACTGATGTACTATGACATGAATGATCTTTGGAGACACTATATTGTATGAAATAAGACACAGCAATGGACATACACCATGTGATTCAGTTTATAGGAGAGGCCTAGAATTAAGCTAATGGACAGAATGCAAAAAAAAAAAAAAAAAAAGTTTGGCTGGGGTTAGAGAAAGGGATGGAGAATTACTAATTCTCCATGTTGTTTCAGTCTGAGATGAACACAAAGTTCTAAAGATGGTGAGAGTCACTAGTCAATTAAATCACTAAAGTCACTGCTCAATTAAAATCACTAAAACCCATAAGTTGTACGTTACCTTCACTACAACAAAAAGTGGTTAATGAGACCAAGGAATCAAGTCCTCAATTAAATGTTTGAAACATATTTGATTCAGTTATTGGGAAATGTTCACATATATATTTGAACAACATGTAGATAATTTTATGATTCTCCACATAAAGATACAGAAAAACAGAATATTATATTCATCTGAATTGTCAATTTAGTTTTAAAGCCAAGCCAATGCTAATATAATTTACCTCCTCTCACTATCAGGAAAAAAATTCCACTCATACTCAAAGCTTAATTTAAGATGTAATTATACAATCTATCTTAAAATTTTCACACACAGTAAATTCCTTAATATTTATACTATCTTCAGAAAACAGAATTGAACTCACAGACACACATGGTATATCAAAAGGACACACCAATAACACCAAAATGATTTTATTTTCGTCCCTGACAACATGCATGATGCTGCCATTATCACTGGTTTATTAAATATTACTTAAGCACTCATTAAAAATGTTTACATTTAAAAACGTGACACAATAAACAAGTCAATTATAAACACAATCCTTCCTCAATATATTTTGTTTCTTTCACACATAAATAACAATCTACAAAATCATAAATAAAGCTATCAACTCTATGGTCGAGGATTCATACACATTGTGAAGTTTGAGCATGCTCTATATGCATATCACCAACCAGATCATTCTTACAAGTTCTGTCTCCCAACTTGGGAGAGTTGCCTATAATAGACCTTTCAGTTTACTTAGTAAAAATGTCATGCATTTAAAAAGTCAAACAGCTACAAGCCATGATTTTGTCTGTTGAGACTGGGTCTCACTATGTTGTCTATGTAGCCAAAGCTGGCCTGTGATTCACAATTCTTCTTCCTTAGCTTTCTGATAGCAGGAAAACTAAACTAAACAAAACAAAACAAAACAAAACTGATCAACAGAAGAGATTAGTTTAATAGCAGAAAGGTAGCTACTTAATTAGTAAATCTTTTTAAAACCACTTCTGCCTATCTAAAAAAAAAAAAAAAAAGAAAAAAGGCTACAGAAAATGAATGCTTTTAGGTCATTTAAATAGCATGGAACCAAAATTAAAATTTAAGAAACAAAAAATTCAGATTAAATCCATATTAAGCTTTTGAAAATATTCCATTGAGATTCCGTAACAGGAACCGAACCAATGACCATCATAATCTTTTTTTTTTAATTTATTTTGAACCATCATTTGAAATAGTAAAAATAATGACACAAATTTTTTCTGTGAATTGTACTTATACTACTTGTACATATTGACTACAATGCAATCTTCAGATTTTCTTGCCAAGCTTGACAGCTCTCATCACGACCTCCCGAAAGTCAGCTTGTATTTTCAGCAGCCTATAGTAAGAAAGCAAAATCCATTATTTAAGAAGCTATGGTCAACACAGCCATGGAGGTAAGCCTGTCAACACTACACTTGTTTAACAAACAACTAGCTATTCCACAACACAACTGAATTGCTTTTATTGGGAAAGTACACTGATTTTTATTTTTGTTGTATTATCAAGATTATCTTCTAAATTTACTGCTAGATGGCACACGTTATTTATATAATAAAAGAGAACATGTAAAAATGTACTACTTCTTTAAGAGTTAACACATAATCTTGTTTTCCAAGGTCTTCATTAGTTTGTTTTATTGTAGTACAAAGACAGAATTAAAAACAAGAAAGACCTATTAAGCTGCAAATAAAGGATACCAGCAATAGAAGACACAGTGAACATATTTTTAATCTCTCCATTTTTAAAATTTTGCTAAAAGGGTTTTGTAGTATTTATTTACTTAAAAATAATTTCATTGTAATGAACTCAAAAATAAAGATACTTTTCTTGCATTCCTAGTCCCCAAGTCCATACATCTCAGTGACTCAAAATATCCTTTCTGAAGCTATAAAACTTCATTTGGGTTTTATACATCAGTACTAATTATGTTTTTATGTACTTACATACACACGGGGAGGGGGTGTAGAAATAGTATGACAGCCAAAACTAGAAAGACAATTAGCTTTGTATCTTTCATGACTCATGTGTTGTTTTGTTGTTGTTGTTGTTTTGCCTGCATTTTTTGTCCTTCCTCACCACCTAATATTACCTTTTCTTGATCTCCTTTCTAAATGGTATATAGAACCCCTTACAGCTGTTTACACATGTATGTATTATAGGCTAGAATCTGAACCTGAGGGGGAATGTGCAGTTTTTCTTCTTTCCCAGGTGTGTCTGATATTCACCAAAAACCTATCTGATATGCTTTCTAGGATGACTTGAAAAGAATAAGCACCTGACAGTAATCCTAGCACTTGGGAGCTAAGCCAGGAAGAGCTGGAGCTGTCTTCAGGCTACATGAGGAGGAACTTGCTTCAAAAGACCAGGGACAAAACAAAGATGTAATATAATTTCTTAACACCAATATGAAAATGATGAATTTAACCTTAGAAACACATGCTAGATTTTCAATGTCCTTCTATTTCTACTTCCTACCTAAAAATTTCTTTTTAGCTACTTCAAAAAATATAATAAAATACTGGGAAAATTATAAATAATGCAGTAATATAAAAGGCCTAAACTTTTCCTATGCAGACAAAAGAACTGACCTTGCTTTCCTTAAAATTTGTTGGTTCACAAATATAGTCTGAACTAGCTTTTTTCTCCTCTGGATTTAACACACAAAAGAGTTAGAACAGTTTAAAAATTGTTGCCAGCTGTGTTGGCACTCTGGAAGCAAAAGCTGGCTGATCTCCTTGAGTTGGAGGTCACCAGGGAATCAAAATGAGACTACTCAAAAATGAAAACATTTAAAAAGCTGGCTCACACACTCTTTGTCAGACAGTGCAAACTAAAACTGCAGTCAGCCACTCAACTATCAGTAGCTGACCCACCTTACTGTAGGCTTCAGCTTCCTTAGCAGCATGTTGCTAACAGCAGTAGCAACACCTGTCTCTGTATGAGTGGAGGAAGCAATGACAGCTCAGCCTGAGCCTCCCGTCTACTCTAGCACAACGCACAACGGAAGAACTCATTTATCCATTGTTGACTCTTTTCAGTTCCTTGTCACTCTGCTGTGAAAGCTATACACTGAGTTTTTAAAAAGATGACAAGGAAAGTAAGCGAATTAAAGAGAGGATGGGCAAAACCCCATAAAATGCATTCAATTTTAAGGGTATTCAGAAGTGCAAGTTAAAAGAAGTCCCACACATGTTCCTTCGTGAGAAATGGCTGAAATAAGGCTCCTAGTAATGAACACTGACAAACACACAAAGGCAATCCATATGCTGCTGGTGAAATACAAATCAAGACAACTACTTTGAGAAAGCTTGGCACTGGAATGATCTACTGAGTTGATAGCACAACACCTACAGCCAGTCACTTTATGTCTAGGTACATACCTAAAACAAATGCACATGTATAAGCATGAAAGACATGGGTTTCAATAGTGCTAAATAATGTTCAAAGTAGCATTACTTGTAAGTCTTACATTGAAAATAATTCATATCTACTCAAAGAAGAAAGGGTAAATTGCCATGTTTTCGTAGAAGGAAATTTATTTGCAAGAAAGAAACACATTATATTAGCATTCAACATGAGTGAACATCACAGAATAAATGAAAGAACCCAGTAGAAATAGTCTAAGATTCCATTGGAATGAAGCTTAAACTTTTACAAAGTTAGAGCAGGTTTTAGACGTCCAGTTCAGTGAGACTGGTGACCATCTACCACAGAACTCAGGATACTGGAGAGGAAAGTAAGGGGGAAGGGAAAAGTGAGTGTGGAGAGAACAGAGCTTTCTAAGGTGTTGGACGTGATACTCATGTGGGTACTTAATTCTCTGTATGTGCACATGTGTGTACAGGCAACACCAGGTCTCTTCCACAATCACTTTCCACATTAGTTTTTGAGACCAGGCCTTAAGTAAACCTTTTATTCACCTGATGCAATTGCCTGCCTCTGTCTAGGCCTCATCCTAGAATCTTCTAGCCCCAGTACAATATAATGTAGGCCTATAATATTTTCAGCCTCTGAGGCTTACTTGTTGAATAAGCTCACCCTTTCTAGCTATTTCCGAACTCTGGCTGGCTGGTTCAGCTGTTCTGGAGCAAACTCCTCTCCAAGCTGACTGATTCAAGCTAACTTCTCTCAGTTCCTCACTGAACTGCTCTGCTTGGCCTCAAACCAACTCTAGCAATCTGATCTCATTTTCTGGCTCCTCGTTCTCTGGTTTCATCTTTGTCTAGCCTGTTCTCTCTCTGTAAAACTGTCCTGGTAAAACTGCCTCCTCTCTCTCCCTCTGTGCTGCTCTCTCCTAAGCTGCCTCTCTATTCTTGTGAGAGATGGAAATATCCCACTTTGTCAAATCTTTCTCTGATTTGTCACTTTGTCTGCCTCTCAATTAGACATCACTTTCACACATGGGTGCTCCCTTCTAAAAAGTAACTTTACTTTCATTGGTTGGGATTAAAGGGTGAATACAAGGGGCATGTTTGCTTTCTCCAGCAAGATCACATAGCCCTAAGTCTTTGGGTGTGATCAGATAAGCCATGCTGCTGGACTGAAATTCATCCCAGTTAACTGATTTGTTTATACTAAATGGCCAGCAAGCCCCAGGGAACCCCATCTCCACCTCCCCAGCTCTAGGAATACAGACATGCATTCCTGAACCTAGTTTCCCATTTGATGATAGGGATCAAGTCTATCTTTACACATCTGCATGACAAAAACATCACTGAGCCATCTTCCCAGCCCTTTTTGTATTTATAATCAATATTTGCTCCATAAGCATATTTTGTTTGCCTTTTTGTGTTAGGTTTAAAAATCAGAGATTGAAATGAATAAAATAAAAAAGCCTAGGTTGCCAGCAACTTACATATTTCACATAGCTTCATTCTCTCAGAAATAAGAAAAAGGAAGCCATTTTGCTGTTGGACAAGTTTAACTGTAATGACTTGAAGTTTCAATATTCACAGTTAATGTGATTCCTCACCACCATGCAGCCTTCTCTCCTGCTGTTTTCCTGTCGTTTCTGTTTATCTGTATTCAAATTTCCCTTATCTAATAATGACACCAATTGCTGGATTAGAAGCCACCCTAAATCAGATGAATTCATTGTAATCTGTGATGTTTTTGTAGATTTCAAATATGGTTAGATTCATTGGCACCAGGGCTTAGGACCTGAATTTAGTATTTGGCAGAAGGCACAATTTTACTCAACATAGAAAATTCTAATAGTGAGAGAGTCCTAAAAGAAGATAAAACGTTTGTCAATAACTTTTGTGGTCTGAACACTTTGCCTCTGGTCTCCAGAATTTCTCAGAATTAATCAGAAGTTAGCCTACTCTGGTTTAGCTGGGATCTCTCACATAGCTTGTTATTTCTAGATACAGTGTTTTTATTTATAACTAAGACACAAAGCTAACCTTTAGTGCTTCAGTACCCTTTCGGAGCTCCTTGATAACAGATGATAAGGCTTCCGGGTTGATTCCTTGTTCACAAAGCCGTACACAAATAGACAGTGTTTCCATATCCAAACCGGTATTCAAAATCCTTGAAATCTCCAGCAGAACTGAAAAAGATACAGACACAATATTTAAAAAGCATAAACACCTAAAAAATAAAAATGTACAGCAGCACTTCCTTTCAACAGACTGAGGTTTTGTTTAGGCATATTTATGTATAACCATAAATGCAGTAACAATTAGTAAAAGACCAGAGACCAAGAGTTTAAAGGAGAGCAGGGAGAGTATATGGGAGGGTATGGGAGGATGGAAAGAGAAATACTGTAATCAAATTAGAATCTGAAAAGTAAAAAAAGAAGCAAACTAACACACTGCAGTTGGCCAAAACCAATGGGAAGAGCACAAGATTTGGCCCGCGCATGTGCACACTCAGAACCCCCCTTTAAGACTGAAAACAAAAACACAAGCATTAAGCTGGAAGGCTTAACACACACACAGAGCGCCAGGGCAGATCCCTGAGGGCCCTGTGCATTCTGCCTCAGTCTGGGTTCAACAGAACTTTGTTCACACTGAGGATTTAGAGGCCTTGTTTTCTTGGTGGTTTCCTTCCACTCAGCCTCTTACACTCTTTCTGCCTCTTCTTCAGCAGGGTTCCCTGCTCTCTGAGGGGAGGGATTTGGAGATATCCTCTTTAGGGTTGAGTGCTCCAAGGTCTCTAATTCTGCACAGTGTCTGGCTGTAGATTTCTGTATTTGTTCCCAACTGCTGAAAGAGAAAGCTTCAGCAGTTGGGCACTGATCTATTAAGGAATCAGCACCTCAGGATTCAGAAACCAGCTAGTGCCTCTCAGCTTTGTTTTTGTTTTTGTTTTTTTTTTACATTCACTGATTTGACTGATGCATGAGTGTGTATTTGTGGGTTCCCACAGGCCACAGTGTCCAAGCAGAGGTCCGAGAACAACATACAGAATCAGTTCTCTCCTTCCACCATGTTCACCCTAGGGTCAAACTCAGGTCGTCAGGCTTGCTGGCATGGTAGCCTTACCTAGTGAACCATCTTGCCAGCCTAGTGTCTCCGTTTTTAAAACTTAAAAATAGTTGCATAACATGCCTTTTCATGAAAATGTCAACTTCTTAACCTCTGCGCTTTTTAAAGAAGGAAGCTGCTCTTAACACTTCCCCCGCTGATTCTATATTGTGGTAACTGTGATCCATCTGTATATACTAAATTTTATTTCAAGACCAATTCTACATGAACATAGGCAGTTAAAGCTTTAAAACCTTTCATAATAATTTGACAGAATAACCGCATCTGTTGGTTTTCTGAATAAAATCTTGTATATTTAAACTTCACTTTTAAACTTTTTAGTATTTATTTTACGTGCATGAGTGTTGTATCTATAGGTGTGTGTGAGCACCACATGTGGCCTTGACTTCATTTTCTACAGCTCCGCTTGGTCGTGCATTAGAATGTCTGTCTTTGACAGGAAAAGCGGCAGGGTTCAGAACCTAGGCTACCTAGGCTTTCCCAGGACTCCCCTCCCTCATGGGGCATCCACAACACAGGTCCGTTAATTTTGTCAGAACTCAAGTCAACTGGTAACACATTACCTGCTGTAGACTTTCCCCTCCCATTGTGCTTAGGACATTATTTCCCATGCAGAGTGAATTTATCATTATTTTCACCCAACACCTGAGAGATGATTTCTCCCTTCTACAAACATTTAGGTGTTCAATTCCTGTAGTGTAGGCAGAAAAAAAATCCTTTTCCGAGAAAGAAGCCAGTTGCTAAAATACAATTTATTGAATGCTGTGTCCATTGTTAACTAAACTGTAGTCACTACCTTTACTGCAAAAGAAGTTTGCAGAGAACTATACAGCATGCTTGTGCCATAGCCACATCATTAATTACTAATTTTTTATTGCACACAGTAGGTTAAATATCCTTCTACCATTGTCATGTATATAAGCCTTTTTAGTCTCAGGGTGAAATCAAACATTTTCATCAATTTCCAAAACAAATTTATTGGGCTTCACGTTTGAACTGCAGGAAACCATGGATTATTTGGGCAAAAAATGGACAAGATGACAATATTCAGTTACTTGCTAATTTAACTCTAAGTATTAAAAGCTGTCATAGCATTCATGTGAACATCCAACTTTTCCCACTTTCATATTATTGATTTTCATGTCTCAAAGTTCAATGTGAGTCTTAAAAAATACACTTTCCAACACTTTTGACTATGGATTCAGTTTTGAATCTCTTGCCTAAATTCTAATGCCTGTGCCTTTTTCTTTCTGATAATGGTTTAAATTTTCTCATCATAACTCATGTTTTCCTATTTTAGATATAAGCCAGATTATAAGCCAGATATTGTAAATTTTATTTTGTTGGTGAAGGATGTGTTTCATCTCTCTGTAAATACCTGGAAACCATTTCTTTCCGTTCTTAATCTTCGAATCCGTTGGGCAGAATCAAAGCGGTGCAGTGAACAGCTGACTGAGCTTCCTTCCGAGTACTCTCTCCACTGTTTCCCAAATTGTGTTTTCCATGCTGGCAGATAGGAGGGTGCCATCCTCGAGCCCTGTGGCAGCATGGCGTTGTGCGTGTACTAATCACTTTCTTTAGGTAACTAGTACCCTGTGTCCTGCGAATCCCTGTATAGTTTACAGGCTTTTGTTTTGTCCAGGTAGGAGTGTATGCACAGTTAAGTCACTCCATCTTGACCAGAGTACTCATTCTTATTTTTTCAGGGTTCAATGTATTATTATTTTTTCTTTAGTGATGTAAGCCTGATAGTCACATTACCTGCTGCTTTCAGTAACTTCCTTTAAGACTTTAATTCCCTTGAAAATAATTTATTCTTGTTTTGTAACTCAATGCTTATTTATAGTGACTTCCTATTTTTGCTTGTTGTTCCTGCCTTTATTTAATTTAGGCTCTATTTTTCAATGTTCTTGTTTACTGGAGAGTGCTCTGATTTCTGAAGCATAGCAAGCAGCAGGAGACTGGCCAGGAGTGTGCTCTCTAGAGCCAGACCACCGCAGTTCAAATTCTAGCTTTATTACTAGAAAAATCTCACACTTGCTTTTACTTTACCATTCTATAAACGGCAGGCAACAGTACTTTCTTTACAAGGTTAGTGTAGATACGTTTAGAATGGTGCCTAACATACAGTAGGACTTAATGAAAGCTTAGCTATTACCTACTATGACTTTCTCTTTCTTCACCTACCTAAGGTACTTTTTGACTTTTGGGTGAAGATTCATCTATGGAAAACTCTTGCTCACAAACTCTTTGATACTTCTCTCATCCGGGCCTCAAGCTATCTGGACAAAGCTTTATAGAGCATCTCGATACTCAGAGAACACATAGATGATGCTTCTCCATCTCTGCAACGGTATATTTCTGCCTGGTACGCTGGCAGAGCAACATGCTTCTTCAGGTCTATCCTCAAACCCCACTGTAGTTCCCTTCTGTTCCTTTCTCATGGGGAAAACCTCTTTTTCATCAATGGAAAGAAACTTCCTTTTCTTATTTTTGAATATGGCTATATTTAATAATTATAATTCAGCATTGTTTCCTATCATTTTTTTATCTCCCTAAGTATATGCACTTTCTTTACTAATTCTGGTTCCTAAGAGTCTACTTAACTCTTGGAGATTCCAAGGTTACTTTCAATATATTGACATAAGGGGACATGCAAATCTAGTAAGGCCCTATTAAAGAACCAGATGTTTGAGAAGCTATTAGTAAATATAAAATTGGAGTTTGTATTTGTGAGATTTTGGTATAAGATGAATTTATCTCACCTCCCTGATCCATTTCTTATGCTCATGTGCTCTTTACCTTTTACCTTCCACTAAGAGCTAATGCAGCAAGAAGGCCCTCTGGCAAGTATAGTTTCTTTAGACTTATTATAAACAACTAGAGCTTAAACATTAAATGGACAACTGTAAACATCCAAAACTATAAACACTAACTCTGTGTTCTTTGGTTTACCCAGACTTGGGCAATCTGTTATAGCAAGATAACAGGAAAAGACTGATTCACTCTCTATGTAAAATAACGGAAAAGAACAGTACACATCTAAAACAAGGGCACTCAATACATTTTGAAAAGACAGTATTTGAGAAAAACTTGCCTGAAGAAGCAACAACCTCAGACTTCAAGTGTGAGAAGAACTTGAGGCAGGAGGAAGTGAGACAGCAGATGGTTCCTAGACTGGAGGGAACTTGTTCAATTCACTGATGCTAACAGCCAGTGTCGAGACAATGCTATGAAGGGGACAAATCAGCAGAAAATAGAGGAGACATGCAAATCCAGAAAGACCCCATTAAAGAACTCAGAAGTTTGAGAAGCTGCTGGTAGATAGAAAATGGGAGTTTGTATTTGAGAGTTCTAAAGTATGGGTTGGATGTTTGAATGGGTTGCATATAATGTGGAATCAGTAATTTTGGTAAGACTGGTAAATGGAATAGCCTGAAAGAATAGTCAGGTTGTCAAATATCAAATTAGTCATGAATTTTAAGGCCTTTGTGAAGACTAAGAGGCACAAGAAAATCAGGCTGACCCCAGGTTTCCCTGTCAAGATGAGTGACTAGACGGATGTCGGGTGGTTTCACTGACTAGTCCATTGGCTCTCAATAACTTTGTTTAGTTAGCTTTTGGAAGCATACTGCCTGATATATAGTTTCAACTACACTGAAGGCCCAGGAAAGAAAAATTATCAAATATACTAGTAGTAAAATTAGAATTTGAGGAGTTACACTGAAAGGCAAGGGAGTTGTTGAAAGGTCTAACTATTTTAGGAGGAAGTGTTGGAAGTGAATGATGAGTGTGTGAGGACATGTGAGCAGAGTATCTCATCCCGAAGCTCTTCACTGTCAGTCAGGGCTGGGGAAAATCGAGTTCCGCCCACAGCATGGGCAAACAAATTACAAAGCCTCCTCAGCACCCCCACCCCCCATGATCTAGCTTTAACCAAGTTTACTTGCTTGACAACTGAAATGAAGCCTTTACACAGGTGAGTCCCACTACCCTGGCAAAGCACTGACAACAGGCGCGTGCCTCACTGACAAGAAATACAGTAGCGTGTGAAGGACTGCTGTCACGGGAAGAAATGGGACCCGATGTCTGAAAATTTCGTGTCGGCTCGCATATGTTGATTTAAATGCAATAAACCTCACAGTACTCTCTCCCTTCATCACAAGTAGAAACAAGCTTCTCTGCCCTTCACTTCTACATGGTCTTAGATGCTGTACTGTTTATTTTATATCAAGTTCTCTCAGAAAAGATGATGATGATGTAAAACCTTAGTTCTCACAGCAGTCCCACCAATGCGTTTGCCCTTCAAAGAAAACTGGCTGGAGGTTGGCCTTATCTTCAGATCCTATCAAATACGCAGTGATACGAGGAGCGTGCTCTAGTAGACCCAGCACTCCGTGAACACTCCAGAGGCGCAAAGTGGAGGATCAGGAGTTTGAGGTCCGTTTGGGCCACACAGCAAGACCCTGTCTCAAACAATACACCCGAAACCCACAGCGGCACCCAAGGCAAGACGATAATGTTAAATACATATCGTAAACTCCTGTGTACATAAATTCACCTTACAAAACAGTAAGCTGTGGTTGAAAAAACGACCTGGGTACAGCATTTAGAAAAGAATTTTCAGAAAGGCAGTGTAACAAACACCAATTGGGTGGAAAAAAGTAAATGTAAGGCTTCTAACAGCTTCCTTCTTTAAACATGAAAGCGTGGGCAGTGCAGGACATTCCACGAATCTATCAGAAGGGACAAGCTAAGAAGGTGGACTAAAGTAAAGAAAACACCAGGCAGGAGGGTGACAGCTCCAGAGTTATCTTTCAAGAGAGATGCTGAGGGGGAAACCATGAAGGCCACGGCCAATGCAAACATACAGCACCACATGTAGATGGAAACCAGCAAAATAAGGACAAAGAAAGATGCTTGCAAACGGGATGGCAGCTAACGCAAAGGAAAACAAAACCAGGCAAAACTGATCCCTTTTGATTCACATCATACCTGGCTGTCTTATTTAAAATACCCACAACATCGCTAGGGCGCTATCAGCTTTATTTCCACGAAGAAAATAACTACGGTCTTACAGAGCCACGTGTTGGCTCCAAGGGGTCCGAGGCTACAGAACCACAGCAGAAAGAAGGCAACGTGGGCGCGCTCTACCCACTCGCCGAGGGGCGCGGACACACCCGCAGCAGCGGCCGCCGCTGTCACCCGGTCTAAGGGCCGGGAGATGACGACGGCTCATTTGCTGCAAACAACCAGAGATGCACTGGGCGGCTACCGAGGCCCCACGACCCCTCCACCCGCGCCGCCAGCCGCGAGCTGGGCGGGCGCCACAGGACGCAGCAGGCAGCCGGGCGGGCAAACAGCCGCCGCGAGGCCAGAACGCCGCGCGCGCGCCAAACTCCGCCGCCGCCGCCGCGGAAGGCCGCCAGCTTCGACGTCGCCCCCGCCGGTCCCTCCCCAGCCCGCTCGCAGGACGCAGAAGACGCGGACAACGCCGGGCCCTCGGCGCCGGGAAGCCCCGGCCGGGTAGGACGAGCGCGACGCGCACTCACCGTCCATGGTCTCCCTCACCGCGTTCAGGTTGGCCGAGGCCGCCGCGCCCGCCCCGCCGCCGCTCGCCATGGAGAGGAGAAGGCCCCGGGCCGGCGGGACGGGGCCTGACCCGGAACCGGAGGGCCCGCCTCACCGCCCGGCCACCGCACCGCGCCGCCGCGCTCACGCCGCGCAAGCCCCGCCCACGCCGGCCGGGGCCCCGCCCCCTCGCGCAGGGCGACGTTGGTTTGAATTTGGAGCCGCGTTCCCCAGCGCGGAACGTAGAGCGAGGAGTTGGCGTTCGAATTCACCCCACCGCCTCGACGCCATTGGCTGGTTCGCGGACGGCGGTGAGACCCGATTGGCCGGTTCCCTGTCCCCGCCCCGCGCTCTGGTTGGCCGGAGACAGCGCGGAGGGAGTTAAAGAGTCGGCGCCTGCGGCGGCCTCTTGCAGGCGATGCCGGGAGTTCCACGTTACCCACGGGTGTAGCTCCGTCCTCCGTGGCCCCGGGCCTTGACTCTGCACTTGGAGAGCTCTGGTCTCCCGGCTCCAGACGTGCCGGCGCGCTCGCCCAGGGGCGAGGGGGACCAGGGAGAGGGACCCCTGGAAACTGAATGGTCCCTGGAAGTGACGTCTGTGCCGTGACCGAGGGAGCCCGCTCAACTTTGATCTACCAGAAGTAAATTCCTTCCCCCCCCCCCCCACCCGGTTGTAATCCGTCTAGAAAGGAATGCAGCGAGGCTTTGTGATGCTGGAGGGGAGGGGAGATGTCTTCGGGAAGAGTAGTTTAAATCCCCACCTGGACCCTGTCAATCACCTTGCCCTCTAGGGAGGTCTGACGAGCCCGGTAGGAATAGTTGCTACCGTAGGGAGTTCTGAATGGAGTTAGTGGGGTATCCGAAGGGTGTTCATACTGATTAATCTTGAGACAGCGAATAAAGAAAACTACAAATAGAAGCCACTTGGTTGGGAAGTTACTTGTGCTTGGCGTAATTTGCCTGCTTCAGATTGGGCCAGAACTCACTCCTAACTGGCTGAGTGTTTTGTGTATGCCGCCTAACTTCCCTGCGTGTGTTCCTTCCTCTGCCAAATGATAGCACCAGGGCCTCCCTCTCCAGCCTCCAGGGTTAGTTTCAGGTTTATCTGAGAAAACTTTCAGGATACTCTCTTGTAAACTATAAGCGAAACCCAAAGGAATTAGGATTGGAGTGAACCCTTTGTGAAATGTTGAATATATTTTGTCAGGATTAATATCCATGATACTCAATTACTTTACTTCTGATTTCTTTTTAGCTTGCTTCCTGGGCTATGGGAGATGTCAGCGAATTAAAAATGCAAATAACACCGGAAACTCCAGGAAGGATCCCTGTTTTGAATCCCTTTGAAAGTCCTAGTGATTATTCTAATCTCCATGAACAAACCCTTGCTAGTCCTTCTGTCTTTAAATCTACAAAACTACCAGTAAGTTTTTCTTGCCCAGTGTTTACAAGTGATTTTAAGTGGAAGTAACTTGGAATAATTGTAAATGTAAATATCCTACAGAAGATATGTCACATAGTCTTCTAATGGTTCTTTCAGCAAACATGATCCGAGTACCCTTGTGCATCAGCTAAAGTGAACAGGTTAGGGTCACTTGGTACAAACTCTCCAGGAATTTCCCACACCAACACAGAACTTTTACTCAGGAGCCAGACAGGCTTTGCAAGTCACCTGGTCACAATTGAGCTCCTTATGTGTACCTAGTATCAAAACAGAGCAGTCAAAGACAGCATAGAAATCAAGATGGTCATGTTCTAAAGGAATTATGGACACTGAAATTTGAATTTCAGGTTTTTCTGTCATAAAACATTGATACCTTTGTCTTTGTTTCCCAGCCATTTAAAAACATTAAATCCTATTAAAACTTGTGGTTAATATAAAAGGGAGGCGACTCCTGTGCCATTAGATAAACTCAACAGAACAAACAATTCTGAAGTTGTGAATTCCGTGCTACGATTAATATCTGTTAATCATAATAATTTACTAATATTTATCGGAAGGAAGTGTGCTCTCTGGGAATTCAGAGAAGGCTTCATCACCTTAGCTATTCTTACTGTTGCTACGCTAGCTAAGCTCTTTTGATTGTTAACCACACAGATAGAAAAACTGTAAAACAAGTGTGCTGTCTGCTTTCATGTCAGTTTGACACAAGTTCAAGTATCAGACTTGAGAGAGGAGAGCCTCTGTTGAGACTACACGCCTCCATAATGGGCTGGATCCAAACCTACTGGGCATTTTCTTAATTAATTAACATGGGAGGATCCATTGTGGGTGGCCATCCCTGGGCCGATGGTCCTGAGGTCTATAAGAAAGCAAAACTTGGAGCAAGCCATGGGAAGCCAGCCAATAAGCAGCACTTCCCATGGCCTCTGTCAGCCCCCGTTTCCATTCCCTGCCCTGACCTCCCTTGATGGCATACAGTGATCTGGAACTATTAGCCAAATAAACCCTTTTCTCCCCAAGTTGTGTTAGGTCAGGGTGTTTCACCATAGCAACACCAGGCGACTGTTTCTGCTGCATTTTATATCAGCCCAGACAGTGAGAAGTCATGCATGAACCGTGTACAGTGTATATGGAGTCATTTGATTAATTTGGCCTTACGATGAGAAAATTCAGCCATCTTTTAGTCTTAATCAAAAGTAAATAGTGAGCCGGGTGGTGGTGTCGCATGCCATTGATCCTGGCACTAGGGAGGCAGAGGCAGGCAAATGTCTGTGAGTTAATGGAGGCCGGGGAGATACCTAGTTGGCAGCATGCTTGCCATTTGCCATGCACATAAAGGACATGAGTCAGACCCCTAGAGCCCATGTGAAAATGCCACCAGTATTGAGTATTTGTCCTAGTGTAGGGAAGGAGGATACAGGCAGATCCCTGGGGCTCACTGCCTAGCCAGCCTACATTATCCACATGGACATGGATATATACACAATAATAAAAGAACGATTTCAATTAAATTGGGTTAAGCAAGGAGTTTGTTTGGTTTTTGGTTGGCTGGCGGTTGATTGGTTGGTTTTTCCAGACAGGGTTCCTCTGTGGCCATGGCAGTTCTGGAACTAGCGCTGTAGACCTTTCTCGCCTCCAGCTTTAGTCCCAAGAGCTGGAACTAAAGGCCTGTGCCACCACCCCCTAGCATCAGTTCATTTATAATTAAACTTAAAAGTCAGAAAATATAGCATCTTGTCCTTCCACCCCCCCCAAAAAAAAATATTTGTAATTACAGTTTTTAATTGGAATAAAGTTTAGGATTGGATGAGTAGTTAGATATGGGAGAAGCCATGGGTGGCAATCTTGAATAGTTAGAGCATCAGTTATTTCCTGAGCTGTCTGAGCTACAGGTGCAGCTAGATCTTGAGCTGTAGTTCATTCTCCACGACAATAAAGGCTTTCAACCTTTGCTAAACGAAGCTTTTGTTTTCTCCTGGGCATGGTTTCTCTCATGAGCACTAATTGTGGTATTTCTACACGTTTGCTACTTTGATTTTTAGAGTATTGTGCCGTTTTTTCTTAATCACGCAGAAGATTTTGATATTTTAAGAGATAATTTGCAGCAGGTTGACTTAGTGTGATTTGGTTACCACTTACCATTTAATTTAGAGTCATTAAACTCAGATTTGAAAATATAATCTTTGAAAGCTGTTTATGTTATAGCCATGCACAGTTTTGACAGTAACATTGGGTAGCATTTTGGTGAATGATTTTAGACTTTATATTTATGTTTATTTCATTAAGACTCCAGGGGAGTTTAGGTGGTCGATCGATCAGCTGGCTGTAATAAATCCTGTGGAAATAGACCCTGAGGAGATTCATCGGCAGGCTTCTTACTTAAGTCATTCTCGGTAAGCGTTCCTTACCTAAGTAAAGAGAAATAGGAACTTCTAAAAACTGGTTATATGTGTAAACGTATGAAGAAAGAAAATTAATATGGATTTTTTTTTCCTTTCTGAATGAGTTTAAATAATTATGGAAAGCTACCTTAAGTTAAGAGTTCCAATCTGTGTAGAAATTACTTTTTTTTTTTTTATATGATTAACATACACAAAACACTTATGCTCACCACCACTACCACTCAAAACAATTCTGTCTCCTTCCACTTGGTTAGATGGAAAAGTGCATTGCATTAGCATTTGTACCTTTGTCTGTAGTTGTGTTTTCTGATGTGTTTGTTTGGTATCTAAGAATAAAGTGTTTCTGTTCAGTTTTGCCTGTCCGGGACGTCTGAAATCCCCGAACAGGATAAGGCACAGAGTGCCAGAGCATCCATTGGCAATAGAAAGCTTTCTAGGTATCCTTCAGCTTTAATGCAGTTCACCAAGGAATCTCAATTCCTTTAAAAAGTTATTTATTACAGTGTCTGTGACGAGTGCACATGTCATGGAGTGGGTGTGGAGGTCAGAGGGCAGCTTTGGGGAGTTGGTCTCTCATTCCACCTTGTAGTCCAGAGGTTGAGTTCAGGTAGTGAGCCGTGCACAGCAAGTGCTGAGCCATCCCTTGGGCTCCATAAATTCCATTTCTTTCAATTCTGCATGCCACCTGTGTAGTCTGCACTTCTTTGTTGATGTGTCGTGTAGTTCTCAAACACTAGTGGGTGTCCGGCTTGAGCTGCTCAGTGATGCTCAGTGCAATGAGAACATGATAGTGGACCAGAAATAGATTCTTAATTAACAGGTTGCTAGGCAGCATTACTTATAGTTTAAAGAACCAATGCTTTGTTGCCAATTGTTTCTTTTTTCTTTCTCACATAAATATATCCTAACTATGGTTTCCCCTCCCTCTACTCCTTCCAGTTCTTCCCCATTTTCCCTCTCATCTGGATCCCACGCTCTTTCCATGCTCATTACCAATCAAACAGGCTTCTAAGGGATAGTAATAAAAAGGTGGAACAAAACCTGTATACACTGGGGTTGGACAAAACAAACAGCAGAAAATGAGCACAAGAGAAGGCACAAGAATCAGAGACTCAGTCATTCTCAGCTCGAAGCCTTAATTTGTACACATAGGACTCGTGCAGACCCATGTGAGCCCTGTGCATGCTGCCTCAGTCTGTGAGTTCATCCGAGCATTGCTCGTGTTGGTTTGGAGAGGTCTTGTTTTCTTGGTGGCCTCTAGCCCCTCTGGTGCTTACACTCTGTCTGCCTCCTCTTCTGCACAGTTCCCTTAGCCCTGAGGGGAGGGATTTGGTAGAGACACCCCATTTAAGGCTGAGTGTTGCAAGTTCTCTACCTGTCTGCATGCCTTGCTCTGGGTCTCTGTATTTGTTCTTGTCTACTGCAGGAGGAAGCTTCTCTGATGATCGCTGAGCAAGGCTTATAGTCTAATATATTTTTTTTAATATTTGAAAAAGAATCAAATAGCTTGTCCAGGTCTAATTTTCTGTCAGAAGATAGGTGTATTGTTAGTCCAAAGCAGTTGGATCTTTCCGCCTTTGACTTTAGAATCCATTCATAGGAAGAGGCATCTGTCGAGGTGTTCTTCCAAATGCTTGCCTGACTTTCTGCTCCACTTCTCTCTGCTTGGTACTCGGATGATCATTCGCTTGTAATTCATACCCACCTGAATTCTTACACAAAGGGAATGTGCTGAAGATAAAATAGACAGGATTTAAAAGCTTAAGTAATACCTTCTCTAGAGAACATTGAAAAAGTAATTCAGATGAGTTTATGAGTAATTTTTTTGTCCCCCACAAGCTGTATATTTATTTATTTGTTTGTTTGTTTGTTTGCCTTATCTCTTCAACATGCTAAATTACAGACAGTTTTGATCTCATCTTCTAGATAACTTCCCAAGCCCTGAGAGGCACTGCACATTATTCCTGCCCTAAGGAGCTAACTGGACAAGTAGGCCACAGGTGTAATATATTTTTCCAAACACAGGGCATCTGTTATCTGAGTTTAGAAAGAGAATTTGGTGTGTTTACATAGCTGATTTGTTATATAGGAGAAAAGTGGGACTGTGTTCTAGTCTTAACTTACTGATGTAATTCATTGAATGCTTATAAGGCTTCTACCAAAGACAGTGAAAATACTCTCAGCAGAGTACGTTGACTCATGCTTAGAAACAAGCAATGGCCTCTGATACCTCCTGCTAACTACCAGGGCCGACACGCCTCCCTGCCTCGTTCCCCATACGTGGTACTTTGCCCTACGTGTCACCTTAGAGTTTCAGTTCCAGCAATTAACTGATGCCAGTAATCAGCTGAAATAGCAGGATGTGCAAAGGGATGAAGCTACTGGAACTTACTGTCAACTAAAGTTAATGCACGTACAGTTGTTTGGGTATGGTTATGATATGGCCATGATGGTGAAGGCAGCTGAGTTGTTAGTTAGTGCCCGTCACCCGAGCTTGGACGTGTGGGTCATCATCATAGTTCATTTTCTCATAATTTCCTTCCTTGAAAAATTCATTTAACTCAAATTTCTGAAACACATACACTCTTATGCAAGCTTCCTTTTTTTTTTTTTCCTTGAAAGCAGAAACAGCTATGTACATGAACAGTTACTGAGGAAAATAATTTTGAAATTGTTTTTTAAATATTATTTACCAATTTGTGGATGGATTGCAGACATTCTTTCCTGGAACAAGATAAAGAAGTGGTCTTACAAGGCTAATTGCCACATCCTTGGCAAGTGATGCCTTGTGCGTGAGACCCAACATTTTGTATTAAGTTTTATTGTAGAGAAATTTGTGCTATAATTCTGTATGGCATTAGAACCAAAAGTGTTTATTTGGACAAAATTTTATATTGTTACTATATTTTAGAATTAATATTTTTGCTTGTCTAATTCAGAACAGTAGGTTATTAATTTCCTACCACTGTAGCAAAATTGCTATAATTGAAAAAAGAGAAATTGGACAATTGTATCAAATGGAATACTTTATTTCTGTTGCTTAAAGCACGTTATCTAAATTATGTTGTTGGTAGTAACTTAGATATGTCAGTGTAAGCCTTTTAAAAGAAAGTTTTCTTCCATTTAGACTTTGACCAAGAGGAAAGTGAGCCTGATTGCTAATGGTGAATTTCCAAGTACTGCCATTCACTAAATGGTGTAAGCCATATGTTTTTCTTTACAATGAGTTTAACATTTGTCAATTCTCAGTGAAGGCTGATTATTTCTTTGAAAGGTTATTATTTTTTCATGTTCAATAAGGTGAAGTAATGGCCTGGTTATTTTTCTTCTCTATCTCTATATAGAATAGATAAAGATGTGGAAGACAAAAGACAAAAAGCCATTGAAGAGGTAATTTAACCCTGTTATAATCATTAAGCCAGTCAACCATGAATTCTGCATGTGTGCCCCCTCCTTTCAGGAAGACCTGAAATCCTTCATGTCACTGCTCTGCCCAGGTCCTTAATGCTCCCCCCCCCCCGTTTCCGTGTTTCCCCCCCGTCTTAGTGCCCCCCCCCCCAGTTTCAGTGTTTCCCCCCAATCTTTGTGCCCCCCCTCCCCAGTCTCAGTGCTCCACTCGGGTTCTTAATGTTCCCCTCCCCATCTGTTTATGCAGCATTCCAAGCTCTGGACGAGACCCCCTGCTTTCAGCTAGCTCAGTATTTCTCTTCGTGCTTCTTTGCTGTCGTGGTCGTTGGCGCGGTGCTTCTCAGTCTAGACTAACCTGGTTTTGGCCAGTGTTGTTCTCTATTCATCGTTTCATTCTCAGGGCCTAGCTTGTCTTCCTTGGACTTTCAGAATACCCATTAGCACAAAATTCTGATTGAAGTTGGAGTTATGTAAAGGAAGCTGAGTATTTTTGTTCTTCCACATACAAAATAATTTTGTCTTTTCTTGTTAATACTCGAGGATTTTTAAGATTTAGAATATATTTCATAAAAATGGCTTACTGCTAAAGTACAAAGGTTTTTGTTTTGTTTTTAGTAAGAACAGTGAGGCCATGATTTTTACTTTTAATTTTTTGTTTTTTTTTTTTTTTTTGTTTGTTTGGTTTTTTTTTGCTTTTTTGGCTAAATTCCTTCTCCTGGACTAGCATAAAGATTACATAGTTCTTTCTTCAGAAAGGCTTTGTCATAGCACCTTTTTCTTGAGCTTTTCTTTTTTTACCCTCTAGTCTCTCCTACACATTTCTATTCCTTAGCTATACTTGGCTCTTCTGTACCCAAAAGATTTGTATTAATGGCCTGTTGTTCAGGTGGCTGGCCCCTCCTTTAGTTTTCTAACATAAGTGTTCTGTTCCTTGTACTTGAGATTGTAACTTTGCTTTAGAAAATGGTATAGTCCTTAATCCTTATAGATCTTGGTTTCCTCTCTATCTCTAGTTTTATCTTTCCACTGTTAGGCAATCACTTAATTCTTCCCCAGCTAAATATCTCAGATCCTTTAGAATTTTCCAACATTTTGGAAAATATCTTACCTTCTTAGAATCCTAAAAGTTGTTTCAAGTATAGCTCAGCAGGTGAAATGTAAGGGAATAAAATCAGAATGAAAGTTAGTATATCATATGCAGAATGTGAGAACAAAAGCTGTCATCCTCAACCAGTCTCTGAAGGGAACTGCTCCGACATTTCCTGTGTCATGGGGACTGATTTCATCCATACAGTAGCATCCATCCTTTAAATACGTTATACACATAGGTTCATTTGTTTTGCATCTTGCTTTTATTTCTTTCTTGCTCTTAGATTTTTAAAAGTAGTCACCCATACAGATTTTTGTCTTGTTGGCAAATGTTAAGTTCTGTTGTTTGTCTTTATATCACAGTGTTGTGGTCTGTTGATGTATTTTATGTACTTCCAGTGGACTGGTAAACCGGTGGCTTTGTGGACTTTCTGTCTGGGTGGGTTTTGTCATATTACCTTCCTAAGAGGCCAAACCATTTATGCTTCTTGTTTATCATTCTGCTTGTTTCTTTCTTCTCTACAATGCTGATTATTGCCAGATTTTCGAATGTCTGTGTTCTGCTTTTTATTTTAAATGCCTTCATATTGGGTCCTAGTTAATATTGAGTGTACTCTGTAAACATGTGTGACACTTCCTAAGTTATGGGTCCTTTACAGTCCCTCTGTAACTTTTCTATAGCATTATCTCTTTCCCATTCTCCTCCATTTCATGTATTTCGCTTACAGACTCATCACTGCTTTCCTAAGGAAATTAACTTTTTGTCCTATTTGTAACAGAGTAAAAAGAAAGTGTTTTTACCCTGAAAGTAAAGAGAAAGGAAAAGTACTGCAATTAGGAAGAGAAGACATAGCTGTAGATAGAAGATGGATGGATGGATGGATGGATGGATGGATGGATGGATGGATGGACTGACATAAATGGCTAGGTGAAGGATGGGTGGATGGATGGATGGATGGATAGTTTTTGTTCATTTAAATAGAATTGCTCGTGATACACAGGCACATGGGTACCACCTGGCTCTCTTTTTATGGACTAAGTATAGTTTCAGTGATTGCTGCTACCCATAGGGTAAATACTGTAACTGTAGCCAACTTCCAGTTACAAATATGATATCACTCACTGAATGGGAAAAGTACAGTTGCACATCCCAATGAGACAAATTCCACCATCTATGTACCCATGCTGTAATTAACTTCAAGAACATAGATACTGTTGGTAAATGTAAAGTAATGTATAAGTGATGCATTTTTAATGATTCAGTATAATTTACTTCATTATAAATTTATAGAATTTTATTTTTAGTATAGGCTTTAACACAAGTTATTCATATTTCTGAAAATTTGGTAATGAGATCTCGAGAGCCAGGACAGGTTAAGTGCAGCACACTATTTACTAATAAGTGTACGCTTACCTCCATTTATCTCTTTCCTCCTAATCTTATTGGTGACCAATCCCAGAACAAATTGTCTGTGAAATGAAGTAATTTACCTGTGAATAGTAACTTTAACTGAATTTGTAAGTTTCAAATTTAAATGGTTATAACACACTTGATGGTTATTTGAAAATGATAAAACTTCCCATTTGTGGGAAGTTTAAGCCTAATTGTACAACTTGAATTTTCCTAGTTTTTTACTAAAGATGTCATTGTACCCTCTCCCTGGACTGATCATGATGGGAAACAGCCTTCCGAGCTTCATCCCAGTAAATGTGAGTACTCATCGTGGAAGCCCAGAGACTGTAAATAGGTGCGAGTGTTCAACAGGCACCCCCAAAACAACCAGGGACTGCGGGGAAACAGCAGAGGATTCATTTATGGGCCCTGGTTAGGAGTCTACTTAAAATTAAGTTTCTGGATGGCAAGATTAGCTCCTTTTCAGGTAAACATCAAAAGTTAGTTGGAATACGTTTGAGTTTTCCTTTGTTGTTTTTCTGCTGTTCTCTTTTGAGTTTTCCTTTATCCGTGACTGTTGTGAGCACTGATTCTGAGGATGCCTGGAGAGGCTTCATAAGTGTAGATAGTTTTAAATAGAGTTGAATCATGAATGCCACTGTCAGTGATTTTTGCAGGTTAGTATTTTAAATAAAATCCTTAGGTCTCTTGGGTTTTTGATTATCTGCCAGCTTCTTGCCGAGAGAGGGAGGGTGGCGATTAACTAACTTTGGGACAGCATAGTGCAGCTGTTAATCTGTCAGAGTTCACAGAGAATTTACAGGGCAAGCCAGCAACCCTTCAGAGTTCCCTCTCCTACCAGGCCCTGGTTGCTGTCACTGTCATTAGTGTTTTGGGCGTGTCTGTAGTGTACATGCACTCTTAGCATAAGGAAAGTGTTCCTCATGGACCCACAGCCGTAGGTACTCAGGATGAGCATTTCCCTACCAGAGCAGTACAGCTTTCAGTAATTCCTTACAGCTAATAGGTAGCGGCAGCCATTGGCCCCTGCTACAGGTGAAAACATCATTTCAGGAAGGCCTGAGCACTTCTTCAGGGTTTCTGAGGTGGTGAAAGCCTGGATTAAAGTATCTCATATCATTCATATATGGTCAGCCATTACAAGCTGACAGTGGTGTGGAATAGTGACTGGAGACCTGGATTATAAGTGTCTGGGTACTATTAGCCAGAGGAGTGGTCTTGATTATTCAGTCTTTTTTGATTCTGATTCTCTGTTTGGAAAATGAAAGGATTAAGCTAGAGAATCATCCTCCCAACTTTGAAATTCTGTGTTCATGGTGACATTTTTTAATATTAGATTTACTACAGATAAATAAATTTTATATAATCTTATTTTTTAAAGAATTTATATTCTGAGAAACTTTTTTTTTTTTCTGAAGTGACATAGTATCAGGAAAATGCAGAAAAGCTGGTGTTTATGAGGTGGCCCAGCTCATTGTAGCCCAATGCAGCGTCAACAGGCCCTACAAAGCTACGCTGCTTAAAGCCGTGCTAGGAGACCAGCTCTCAGGACGGTCATATTCCTGCATGTATTACAAGAAGTGATACGAAAGGATTTTGCTCCAGACTATCTTTTAAAAGTTGCATTCATATAGGCTTGTGCATACGTTTATGTTTGTTTGAAGATGATTTCATCACCCTTGGAAGGCAGAAATATTGAGTCCTTTCAAAGAGAGCAGATTTGTGTCATGTCCAGAATAGTAAAGAGGAATCTCTGTAGCAGATTTGCTTGCAAGCCATTATAGGAGAACCATATTCCTTCCTTCTCTCCTTTTTTTTCTTTCTTTCCTTTTTTTTTCTTTCCTCCTCCTCTTCTCTCTTTGTTTGTTTGTTTGTTTCTTTCTTTTATTTTCATTTTTTTCTTGAAATGAAGTTTCGTGTTCAATGCTTAAACTTTTGATCTTTGTGTCTCTATTTGTTGAATGCTGGGGTTACTGTTGATAGCCCACCATACCTAGGCAATGCCATGTTGGGATCAAACCCAGGCCTGTGCATGCTAGGTAATTGTAGGCTTCAGGCCTCAGCTGATTGGCCTTTTTTGTTTTGGGCAGCACGGTGCTCATGGTAGGAGCACTGATGTAGGGAAGCTGTTGTCATGGTGGACAGGTATGGAAGAGATGAAAGAGGGAGACTCTTGTCCCTCTGACCTTTCAAGGGACTACCCTGTTGGCTGCTAAGACCTTCAGTGAAGCCTCACACCTTCGAGTGTGTACATTTCCAAACAGCACCAGGGTGAGGGTAAAGCCAGGAAGGCATTCTAACTGCAAAATATAGAGTCCATTGTCTCTGTAGCACGCATTGTGAGACGGGCTAGTCTTTGTTACCCCCTTCAGCTTTGGTCCAGAAGAATGGGAGCACATTGTTGCAATGCTTGGTTCCCAGGCGCTGGTCTCCTAATGATCTGGGGATAGTCTGGGAACTTTAGGAGGTGGGTGGGGCCTAAAAGGAAGTAGGTCACTGGAGGCAAATACTTGGGGGTCTCTTGCCCATAGTTGTCCCTCTCCTTCTCTCTGCTCTTTGTACTGCTGTGATGAAATGTTCACCAGAATAAATCTTTGCTCTTGTAAGTTGGTTTGTTTAGTTGTTAGCTCACCACAGTAAGAACAGCACTAAAACAGATGGCAACAATACTAAACAAGGGAACAGAAGTTTTGAGGGTTTGTAAGCCATTAAAGTATTTGAGCTTCATTTTAAAATCATTGGGCTTTTGGCAGAAGGGAGCATCAAAATCCAAAATTGTATTTATTTTACCCATTCTGACAGCATTTAGCAAGTAACCTTCATTCCCTCTTTGGCCTACGCATCTACACTTGTTCTCATTTAGGATTGGTTAACTCAATACTTCTAGATCTTGTGGTTGTTAAGTTATAAAATAGATTTAAATGCATGGCACTGCAACATGTATTGCTGACTCTTGAAAATCTTGAGTACAGTTTTGTTCATCACATTTCAGTTTTTTTTTTGATTTTTGTTTTTTTTTGGTCAAAATAATCTAATATTTTAATTGGGTTTATGAAAACCCACTTTGAAAAAATTAAATGACAATCTGTTTGAGCTATATCGGCCCTATTTACTCATTCAACAATGTATATACATATCAAAACATCATATTAACCAAAATCACATGTAATTACTTGTTATTAAAACCTAATAATTACATGATAGCTTCTTATTTGGTATGGCAATCTTTTATTTTTATTTTTCCTCGTTAAATAATCCATTAGAAAGACACCAAAATTCTAAACTTGGAGATTTATCCTTAAACTATGAAAGCCTGTAGCGTGTAGCTTTACTCTGAAATATGTAACACTAAGTTAAATATAAAATTATGAGTTTTCTACTTTCTATATTTTACAGGTCTTAATGGCAATAGCGACTCCCCTGTTGGGCAAAAGCTGGTGCTCCTTTCTGAGAAATGCAATGGTGGGTATGCACAGAGTCTGCAAAGGAATGCGCTGCATGTGCCTTCAGCATGGCTCATACAGTGTCGCTGCTTTCCAATTAAGACCGTGTCTCGTGAATGAGCTATGTGCCAAGAGAACGGACCTGTACAAGCTGATATGTTAGAACAGATTATATTCAGCCTTGCTTTAGAAACAGCAATCGTGTGTTGCTCTCTTGTGTTAAGGGTGTGAACTGTGAATTGATCTGTGGTTTGGAAAAGGGTTAAAGAAAACACGAAAGTTTGTTAATATGAGAAATCCCCTAGTGTCTGCTGGTATCTCATTCAATTCCGAGTACCAGTCTGCAGCCAGGGGCTAACTTCTACCATTAGCGGGTCCCCGTCAGGAAGGAGTGGGGATCTCGCAGGGAAGGCGGCACGGAGTGTAATAGAATACCCGAGGACTGCTTCTGTCTCTTGTAGTTTGCCGGGGAGATGGCTGGCCTGCAAGCACATGGTCAGTTGCATGCCACGTGCCTTCACATGCTTCTGTGTGTGCATACACGCGTCCATGTCTTTGCTTTCTTTCAGCTGCCTGTCAGACTCTGCTGTCTCTTCCTGTGGACTTTAATTTGGAAGCTGTATTAGGTAAACACTGCGTGGCTTGAGCCTTTCATGACTTAAATCAGGTTTTTATTTTGTTGGCTTTTTGTGAATGGCAGTATTGTCATTAAACAGGAAACTGTCTTAAATTTTTCTGTTTCTTGAATGTGGCCTGAATTAGTAGCGTTTTTATCATAGTGAACTTTACTGTGGGCATCTTAAACATGTTAAACATTATCGTTTTAGACATTACACGTACATGTATTGAAAAAGTTCAAGCATGTTTTATGACTTTCAAAAATCAGGGGCTGTCGTGTAGCCACTTCTCACAATGACCAGCTGTCTCTTTGTCGTCATTCAATGTAGGAGACTATTTTAGAGCAGACGACTTTGTGGACCAGTCTCCTGGGAACCTCAGTTCTTCATCCCTCAGAAGAAAGCTCTTCCTAGACGTCAATGGAAGCATCTCTGACTCTTTACCTTCAGCTTCTCCCGGAAGTCCCCCTCACAGTGCTCGAGAATCTCTTGAGGTGTTTTGTCCAGTAGATTTCTCCATTGCAGCCTAAGCGCCCTGTGTAGACGCCACTGCAGTAAGATGTGTATTAGCAAGTGGGTCGTGCATACGCTCGGGTAGAGGAACTCGGAACATATCCAGAATATCACTGTTGGGCATTAAATTTCTTGTGTATTTTCTCAGTTTGGAGTTATGATTCCAGTCGGAGTTTAGTTTTATATTTAGAGGTAGACAGTGTGAGCAAATTGATGGTTGTCTCAAGGAATCACAGCCTGGGATACTTACTATCAGGGTATTAGCAGTGTGAGAGCTGCATTAGCATTGACGGAGTAACTAAATTAGAGGTATTTTCATAGCGGCTAATTGATCATGAAATGTAATGAGTGATTTGTTTAAACCCAATTCATTAGACTTTGACCTTTATTTCGAGATTTTTCTAAGAAGTCTTATCTTTGATGCAAGTTGCCATTTACTGTTGATTCTTCTGAATTTCCAGTTTATAAGCATGATGTGAAGAAGTTCAGAAAGATCATGCAATATAACCATGAAAAGGAATTAAATGTATTCAGTGATTACTGGCTTGATTATTTGTTAGTTTCTTTCTTTCTTTCTTTATTTATTTACTCATTTATTTATTTATTTATTTATTTTTAAATCACAGGGACAGTTTTCTTCTAGTCCCATTCAGCACAGTGCAAAAAAATACAGTTTGGGGAGCATTAATAGCCCTTCAGCTATTTCTTCACCCACTTTCTCACCGATTTCACTTCAAGTAGGAAAGACACCACTTTCAGGTATGTCTCAGAATAATACACAGTTAAAATTTGTACTGTCCACATTGTGTTGTTAAAAGGGCTTTTAGCAGTTGTAAATGTGTTATAAATGAACAATATGGTATTAACTTGCAGAAACTTTTTTTTTTTAAACAAAAGGAATAGTGTAAGTCAGATGTGGTAGCTTATGCTATAAATTCCAGTACTTAGAAGCAGAAGGATCGAAAATTCAAGGCCATCCTGGGGATATGTAGATTTATGCTAGCCTGAGCTTCCTAGTAAAACTGTGGTGGGTTGAGTAAGAATGGTCCCATAGGCTCATATTTTAATCTTAGTCACCAGGGAGTAGAATTTTTTGAAAGGATCGGAAGGGTTAGGAATTGTGGTCTTGATGGAGGTTCAAAGCTGTGACAGGCCCAGTTTCTCTCTCTTACTGGGCTTGCTGATTAGAAAGTAGTTTTCCTGCTCCTGCACCATGGATGTCACCATGGTGATAACAGTCGAACCCTCTGAAACTAAGCCAGCCCCTAATTCAGTGTTTTCTTGTATAAGAGTTGCTGTGATCATGGTGTTTCTCCACAGCAATAGAACGATGACTTAAGACAAAGACCTTGTTTCAAAAAAAGGAAGGAAGGTAGGTAGGAAGGAAGGAAAGGGTGGCCAGAGGAGCAGGGAGTCTTGCTGTGTTGTAAGATTGTGTCTCCTAGAAATGTCAGAAGCTACACCATGAAGTCTCTCCATAATGGCTGCCTAAACATGACCTGAACAAGGACAACACCAATAGACATGCTAATGTGGTGAGCCCTAAAAACACATATATGAAAGTAACATGCAGATTGAGCAGGTTGGACTTACGTATTTAGAAACACACATGAATGGAACACGAAGAAAAGCAGCCATGAACTTGAATGAAGCAGTGGAGGGAGCTACATAGGAGTGTTTGCAAGGAGGAATGGAAGGGGGAAGTTATGTAATAATAATAATATCTGAAACTTAAAAGACCAAGAATGTTATATGAAATATAGATTGCGGTTTCCTTATACACACAGAACCATTCTTGCTTCATAAACTGTATAATTATCAAATAAAAGTGCCATATTAGAAAAGACTGGTGATCTATTTCAGTGCAGAACACCACGCTGTGTAGTGTCTACACCCTGTCACTACACAGAAGGATAGAGGGGTAATTTACCCTCAAAGGCAAGAAGTCTCAGGAAATTTATAATCTAGTTGTTTTGACAGGCAGTATTTACTTCACTGTACCAGAGATAGCAATTTTAGAGATATGCCTTCTTATATGCATTCTTACTTATATTTTTTATACGCCCTCTTACTTATAGGAACAGATTTTGACAATCAGATAATCAAATTCTGGAAAACACACTTGGTTAAGGTTTTAAAAATAAATATGTCCAGAAATCTACATATGCTTTGAAAAAAAATTGTCAGTTTTTAAAATTTAAAAATTTGTCAGTTTTTAGTATTTTTAGAGAACCAATTCAAGGTAAAAATTTGGAAAATTTAAAAACTTGCTTTTTTATACATGGGTATAAATATGGGTATGAATATGTACATGAACATATAAATTATGCATGGTTTCATTTTTTCAGAAAGCACTTATTACGGGTATTTCACAGGCCACTCAGATTATTGTTACCTTAAAAACATGCTTTTGGACTCGACCTAGCAGTGTATCAAAGCAGATAGTAAGACTCATAAACAAACCTTCAACAGAGTGCAGGGAATCATATGAAAGAAGGGGGAGTTAGTAAGACCTGGAGAGGACAGGAGCTCCACAAGGTCCAAATGTATCAGGGCACAGGAGTCTTTCATGAGACTGTTTCTCCAACCAAGGACCATGTATGGATATAACCAAGAACCCCTGCTTGGATATAGTCCATGGTAGCTCAGTGTCCAAATGGCTTCTCTAATAAGGAGAACAGGGACTATTTCTGACATAAACTCAATAGCAAGCTCTTCGTGCCCCCCCCCCCCCCCCC